TACTTATTATTATTACTATTGTTTCAGCTGAATCTGGCTTAATTAAAATGTTTTTTTCAATATTTTGCAATCATTCTTTATTAAGGTACTTTAAGAGACAGTAAACAAAACGGCCCGTCTTTTGAAGTAATTTTTGTCTACTGATATGTTTACACATTTCTAATGTATTCATGTTATTATTTACAAAAAATAACTCTTTTTCAAGTTAGGCATGTGATTTGACGCGTCGTGATGCATGCAAACTAAGCATGCAAAAAGAAACGCAAGAAAAATGTGACAACTTTTGACTTTTCTTCACAATTAAGTCAAAGAGAGGAAAAGTTAGGAAATTTGGATTCAACAGAACATCAAGGATCACTAATTTATATAGTGTTGTTTGCGGAATTCCCTCATCGATTTTCTTCTTTCATCTTTCATTAAATGCATCTTTTATTCTAGCAAGAACTTTGAGTTATTACTTATCTCAATCTTATCTCAATCGCATCTTTGTCATGCATCTTCAATAAAATAATTCTCCAGGAAGGGTATCCGTTCACCAAATCAGAGGTACCCCCTTTGTTGAGGAAAATCTGGCGTCAGACATACAACCATATCGTGGATTCCACTTAGATTCACCTTCTATTGAAACACTATTCTGATAAACACAAGAATTAAGTATCACGGTGTTTTACTCCCCATCTTTAATTATAAATTATTATATCTGTCTGTTTCTAAGAAAACAACGATCACACCTTTCTTTCCCCAATGGTCATTTCATGTGCTAGGCAACTCTATTCTGCAAACTGTTATGAATATATTCTACACCTCAACTTTCAAATATTGTTCATGGGAATGTACTCAATGTTTTTCATTCGTTGTGCAAATGACATTTACACTTCATACAATTTAAAACTAGATCTTTTCTGTTTGCCAATGCTTCTCACAAATTTATTTTCATTTTACAAATCGAGTTTTCTATATAATAAATGCTGTAGGCTGTATTTCCTGCTGAGGCTCAAAAAACAATAAGAACTGGTTTGAAGTGAGGACAAATCGACGAGTGAAATACCAACGAAAAAGCTTATGTGCATTAACTTTCTGAAGCTTTACTGATACGCGCCATGTTTACTTGTTGGCTTACCGCACTTATGTGATCATCCAGATTATACAGAACTAAGAACAAACACATTCCACAAGGAACGTATTGACACAGCTATCATATGGTTTTGTTTGAATACCTATGCAACTCGAAACATTTCTCAACTTCACAGGTTGTCTGTAATAAATACAAAATTCCACCAGTTCAAAAGAAAACTTAAGATGACTACAATCAAAAACGTTAATCCCAATAATACATCGTCACTTAATGGTACAGATTCCCACTGTGACGTACACAAACTCTAAAGTTTGGAAGTTAAACAGTAGTCAGTGTGTATTTATTTATTTTCAGGAGTTTGTTTGTTAAGATTAACTCTGTCTCAAGATTAATAATGGATGGATTTCAGTAAACAAACCCCTGGAAGCCGAGCAGTACTAAACGGCTGTTTTATCCTAGTTTCGGAATCACCGGTAGTACGCCCCCACTGGGATTCAAACCCAGGAACTTCCGGTAACAAAACAAGCTTGTTTACCATTCAGTGGCTGGGACCCGATTCAGCGGCTCACAAATTCTAACTTCTACCAATTCGTGGTTTAGCGTGAACACCAACCAATGTCGTCGGTGGGACATCCATCTTCACACATTAGTGGATGGACCTCACTGGTCACGACTTCTCACTAGAGCTTCAGGAAACTCTGTCCTGTAGCAAGTCACTAGTGAGCATCACATTAATTTTCTATAGTTGTTTTGTAAGAATTAGTTTTGTTTTTACGAGTTGCTGTTTTTCGCGTACTGGAAGGTAGCGCCTTCTAAAATGCTCAAAATATTAAACGTCAACTTGCAATTCAAGACCCATTTACTAAAATCAGATAACTAAGAGAACCAGATAATGTCATTTTCTATTTTACAAGAAAACTTGAGACAGTTCTCTAGAAAAGCATTGGCTTGATGACGAAATATTGTCATGTATGTGATTGAAATAAAAAAGAATTTACGCTCAGGTGAAAGTCATTGTGGATAAAATTTTATCACTTAGAAGTCAAACTTCACCTTATCCCTATGATTTTATCAACTACTTTCAGGCAGCTACTAAAATTGACTGTACTAGATTAACGTAACGCATAGATATATTCACAAATAACTTCTTATTGGATGGTTTTGTTTGAATACCTAGGTAACTCGAAACATTTCTCTACTTCACTGAGATGAATGAAAGCGGAGAACTCTTCGCTGACTTCTGAGCCTTCAGTGAACTAGCGATTGGTGACAGTGTATGCAAGCGAAAAGTTATCCACAAAGCTTCATGGTTGTCACCAGATGGACGAATCAAAAACCAAATGACTTCATTTCGAAGTGGAGATGCAGCTTACTGGAAACAGAGGTAATAAGAGGAACAGACGTAGGCCCAGACCACTATCTCGTACAAGGAACAGTTCAAATCAAATTAAAAGCTTTTGGCGAAACAGGAGCAGCGGATAGACCACAAGGCAAGTTTAATACTCAAAAACTGAAGGATCGGGATACAAAGGATATCTTCACTGAAATCATAAGGAAAAAGGCGGAGGCAAAAATCAAGACTAGCGTAAAGACAAGCGTTGAAAACACTTGAACAGCCTGAAAGTAGTGTGGAGTCAAACCTTCATGGTAGTTTCAGGCAGAAAGAACAGACAGGACAAACAGTAGCTCACTACGGACACATGGAGACTAATATAAGACAGAAGAGTGGGGAAACAAAAGATTAACTAGTGCATTAACTAGCAACAGAAACAGGGTTTGAGTGTAAGCTAGAATACATGGAACATAAGAGTATAGAAGAGGGCCAGGGAAGACAAAAGACAATATTACGAAGAAATGGCAAGTGAAGCAGAACAAGCTACAGGCAAAAGACCTATGGCAACACTCTGCCAAACAATTAGGCAGCTATCGAGCAAACGTTCGACACAGAATAAGCCAGTAAGGGATGACAATGAAAAGTCAATCGCCAAAGAGGTGGAGCAAAGGGAACACTGGGTTGAACACTTCAAAAGAATTCCTATTTGACGGCCACCTACAACGCGCCCAACAGTACCAACGACGGAAGCAGAACTACCAGTAAAAATCGACCCTCCCTCTCCCGACGATAACAGAAATGCTGTAGGCAATCAAGATGCTAAACACTGGAAAAGCAGCAGGACCAGATGGAATCCCGGTAGAAGCATTGAAAATGGACCCAGAGACAACAGCGGACTTGGTGACACCACTGCTGGAGAAGGTGTGGAAAGAGAGCAAAATACCCGAGGATTGGAAGAAAGGATACTTATTCAAACTACCAAAGAAAGGAGACTTAAGTCGATGCAAAAACTGGCGCGGAATGATGCTCCTGTCCATCCCAAGCAAAATACCAATCCGCATCATCCTGGAGAGAATCAAACACGCCAACGTGGATGAAAACCGTAGACCGGAACAAGCTGTATTCAGGAGAAACAAATCATGTATTGATCAAATCGCCACACTACGAATCATCATTGAACAAAGCTTGGAATGGCGGTCACCTGTCTATCTCAAATTCATCGACTTTGAAAAAAACCTTCGACAGCACAGAGTCGATCGGGAGGTGATTTGGCAACTACTTCGCTACTACGGGGTGCCAACGACAATGATACATCTCATCCAACGGTTATACGACAATGCTGCATCCCAAGTAATCCACAACGGGAAACTTACGGAACCCTTCGAAGTGAGGACGGGAGTGCGACAAGGCTGTCTACTATCAACAATGATCTACCTGATTGCAATTGATTGGATAATGCGACAGACAACGGCAACCAACGAGGGAACAGGCATAAAATGGACTCACACAAAAGACTTGGAGGATCTGGATTTCGCCGATGATATATGTCTGATTTCCCACAAACTGGAAGATATGCAAGTGAAAAGCAACAAGTTGGCAGAAGAAGCATTCAGAGAAGATGGGACTTCAAGTTAACATGGATAAAACATAGGTGATGAAGATCCCTGGCCAACACCAACAGCAAAAACAACAGACAACAATCAGAATGATTGGGACGAATCTGAAGGAAGAAACCTCCTTTACCTACCTGGGAAGCATCGTTTCAACTACAGGTGGACGAAACTGATGAGGATATCAAATCGAGGATCGGGAAAGCAAGACAAGTTTCCATTACTCTCAAGTCTCTGTGGAGGTCAACAGCACTCAGCATGAAAAATAAGATGCGGAATTTCAACTCCAATGTGAAGTCAGTGCTACTTACTTTGCGGATCAGAGACTTGGTATGTCACGAAGGGCACTTCGAACAAACTACTGACTTTCATCAGCAGCTGCCTTCGCTCAATACTCAAGATCAGATGGCCAGAAACAATCAGCAACAGGGATCTCTGGGAGAGAAGTAATCAGAAGCCGACTGTGCAACAAATAAGCAGAAAGAAATGGAGGTGAATTGGCAGTACTCAGAGAAAACAAATCATCAAATGATATCACACACCAGGCCATCGCTCGAGTGGAACCCTAACAAGAAGAGGCCAGTTGGTCATCAGTGAGAGGGTAACATGGAGGAGGCCTTGTGAAGAGGAGATGAAAGCATGTGGGCTGACGTGGAGGGCAAAACGTTGATGGAGAACCGGATGCAATGGAGACGTGCAGCTGAAGCCCTATGTTCCTCAAGGAATTAAGGAAAATAATAATAGATAATAATAACGTGATTGAAATAAGAAATAATTTACACTCAGTTTTTGAGAATGCGAGCTAATAATTGGAATAATGTTTGTGAAGAATAAATAAGGGGATTAAAAGTGATTAAACTAGCGTAATCTATATATGTGCTGCTCAAATCACGAGCATATACAATGCGCTGTCAATGTGTGAAGATAGGACTGAGGGTAGAAATTTTAAATTTCAAGTCGGTGTGATATAAAGTATACGTTTATGAGAGGCACAGTAAGTACTGTCCCTAAGAACATAAAAACAACTATTTTCTCCTGAATGGTAAATCGGAATTTTGTAAAAACCGTTGTGGATAAATTTTAATTACTTAGAAGTTAAACTGCACCTTATCTCTATGATCTTATCCACTAATTTAAGGTAACTACTTTAATCGATTACACGAGATTAAATTAACGTATGAATGTATTCACAAATAACTTTGAGAGTTTACTCACGTATTATTTTTGATTGTTAAGTAGTTTCACTGACATATATGGAAATGACTGTATGTTAGCTACCGTAACATCGATAAGATTACAGACGCTTTGCTACAGTATGCTTAAAAATCAGTCACAAGTTGTTAAGCTTCCGCGTTGCCTTTTCATATCAACATTCTAACTGTCATTCACTGTCATAAGTATATGAAACACATAACTTTACTAAATGTCGAACATTAGGTTTCAGTGTCAGTAGATATAAAGAGTTTAATATTTTACGAGTTGACCACGGATTGATATCAGTTAGAGAACCATTGAAAAGCAGGGAGTACTGGATCAAGTTAGAATTCATGAGCTATTGAATCGGGTCCCAGTGGCTGAATGGTATACGAGCTTGCCTTGTAACCAGAAGCTCCTGGGTTCGAATCCCAGTGGGTGCGTACTGACGATGATTCCCAAACTAGGATGAAACAGCAGCTGTCCAGTACTCACTGGTTTTCAATGGTTCTCTAACTGATATCAATCCGTGATCAACTCGTAAAAACATAACAAACCCTTACAAACCAAACTATAGAAAAGTTTAATATCTTCCTCAACTAAATTCTAGTATTCAGATGATAATAAGTTATTTAAGTGTCGTTTGAGTATTTAGTAGATCAGTGCTTTCCAATATGTTTATACACAGTACACGTCCTGCCACGTTTCTTACCTTAGCTTCCTAGTTGCATTATTAATTTCTCTCAGGTATGAGACAAATTTTCTGTAATACATGCTGTGATTGTCTTAGTTTTGCATCCAAAGTTTTCTTCTGTTTTAGCACATCCCATGATTGCACGGCAACCAAAACAATATAAAAATCATTCAAAATACTCAACAAATGAAAAACATCCAAAAATATTCAATTCTGTTGTTTTTGACAACTTTACAGAAAAGATCATGCCACTTAAGTGACAAACGTCGCAGCGCTAAAAACTATTACGATACAAAACAACGCATTGTACAAACAGGGTTAATAATATCATGTGCCTTTATAAAACATCCTATAGAAATACGTTGCCCAATCTGCCTAAAAAGTATAAATACACAATTCTAAGCACCGCAAATATTCCAAATTGTTACAGCTTGTAGCACTATGCGTACACTCTGCGTACTTTTCTTTTGCAAGCCTGCTTGTTTCTTGCTATTGACAGTGCAAGTAAGTATTATTTTGTCAGTACTATTGTTCGTAGAACTTGTGAGTAACAGTGATAACTGATATAACAGTTTTAGAGTATATTATGGTAGTTTAGTATAGTTTATTAGAAATATATATGGCACACTTCAATATGATTGGAAAAATAACTAAATGTATTTCCATAAGAAAATGAATAGAACATTTTTTCTCATGTCAGATATCAAGCTAAATTTTAATGTTTTCCAATAATTCACAAACAAGAATTATTTAACTGATAGGTTATTAAGGTTTACTGCACCTCTAAATCTAAAATGTTTTTGATAAAAAGCTACAGTTTCGGTGTATAAGCTTTCATTTTGATGTGGTTGCGAAGCTTCGCAAACTAACTATCCATATCAGAGAACACAACCACATCAAAATCATCCACCTGAACTACAAATCTACTCCATCATATATCAACTTTTACCTTAAAAGAAACAGTGTTATAAGTGATATCATAGATTTTTGGGATCACCTAGGGTTTGGCGAACACGGAATAGCACAGCTTATTAAGGAGCATGACCTCGAATGGCCTTACTACGGGTTGTTACACCGACCGTCTGACAAAAATGCATACTTATGTCATGACTGGAAACGTTTTGTTTTGATTTATTTGACAGATGGTAGAGGTAATTCTTTGACTGAATTCATTTTACAAATAACTGTTTAATTAATAAACCTTTAGCTCGTCCGTGATTGTTTTGTGTGAATTTTAAAGTTTACCTAATTATTGCATGTGCTGGTTTTATCTTCTAAACGATCCATACACCTTTCAATGGATGGGCTTACCAGAATGGTTGTTTCTTCAGAAAGTGGAACTGTTTGTTGCATATAAATCTCCATAGGCAAACTTAACAGATGCTTAAAATATTCCATACCCAGTTTTTTATTGAAATGTATAAATTCAATTTACAACTCACACTCAACAACTACTTTGCTATACATATTGACTTTCGTATAAGATAGTTGTGGCTCGGAACTAACTAAATTGTTTCACACAAAAAATTGGTGTGAGTAATACATTTATTCAAAAAACCACTGCTAATAAAGTGACCTTGTACTTAACGTACAGTGTCTCTTAAATTGAATAACTAAATACGCCATAAAATATGCTTCTTTTAGAAGGTAACGAGCTGCACGAATGTTTGGATTGTGGCTGTGTATAAAAATAATGTATATGCGTGCATTTATTCTATTAAACATAGGATAAAATTAATCATTTAAAAACATTGTTTACATCAGAGCATTTAGAAGTAGTGTAGATTAATCAAACCGCAATAAAGCCTGTGAATAGTATACTTATTCTAGAAAAGGTTTTCATAACGAGAAAAACGTTTTAAAACATTGGGATTTAATGGTAAAAGCTTAGAAAGAAATGTGGAATATCGTACACAGAAGGAACAGAAATTGGGTAGGAAAGTCATGCTAATATTCGCAGTACACAAAGAAAAATTATTAGAGCATAATACTGGTAACACTTAATTATGTCCAAGGTAGAATTATTGGGTGGAAAAATTTCTAGTGTGAGTACAGATCAAGGTTTTTCTTATTGAAAGCTAGTTTTTGCCAGTGCAAAGAATACACGAATTTGACGTTTTAAGAAGTCTTCTTTTGACTTTATAAATAACTTTGAATGAACTTTCCTAAGATACTGCTTGTCCAGTGTTTAGTCCGTTCAACAGAACATTGACCTATTGTTGTCCCCTTGTAACTTGTCTCTTTAGATACAGGATGCACGGAGAAACCCAAGTATTTTTCCTCACAAATGCAAATGAATCTGTCAATATCATTAAAATTGATCCAGTATGATAGCTAATATTCCGAACTAATAGAGAACATTGAACTGCAGTTGAATGCTTCTTGTTAGTGCAGATTAAACAGTTTGCTTTCAGGACTTTTCATATTCTGCTCTTTATCGTGTCAGACAGAAATCTGACTTTGAATATCATTTTGAAGAATGACATTCTCTTCGGCATTGAGATGGGTTTTTCTTCTTTGGACTTTAATCTTATGTGATTCTCTATAAAGCGTTGGAAATAACTATTGTCACTTAGTGTTAACCTCAAAACAGCAACGTCCTCACCTGAGGTCTCCAGTTAGCGGAATGTTCAATTACAAGTCAAGAGTTACATTTTCAAGTCTCTTACTTAACTTATGGACACCCACAGTAGTATTGTTACATTATCTCAACATTAGTGCTAATTTACAGCAGCTGCAGGTATAAATTTTCTCTAACTTGAATTACATACAAAATTAATGTATTATTTTTTAAAACAGTTAAGTGTCTTTCACAAGTCCTATTTTTCATTTAAAATTTATTTACTCCTGTTCATAAAGGTCAAAGACTGAAAGAATTAGGTAAGTCTGTCTTTTAGCATTATATTTGCTCCGGATCGCTGTATAAAGTTGACATTCTACACAAGAAACGGGACTGTAATCCTGTATGCTATTAGTTGATTATTGTACTTGTCTGCAAGATATCAAAATACTTTTTAAATTGTCGATGATTTTACGTGATCGAAATAGAATCAGTATCCATTTTAGTTATTTAAATATGGACATTGTTGCTAAAATACTAATGGGATCTGATATGCTCATACCTCATGGATCATAAAGTTTGATAATCCGTTACTCTCGATTTAATCACTGTCATTGCCTAAATAGTTAGTGAAAATTCCTTTCAGGAAGATACATTTGAAATTGTGGATCATCATGTTGACACGATTATAAAGGACAACAAATTATACTTAAACTATTATTATTCTGTCTGATTAGATACCGTCTAGTTATATTTACTTCGAAATTCCTCTGACATTTGTAAGAATTATTGTCACTGTATGGTATGAATATCAAATGTCCATTAGAACTATTATTGCTTTGTGCGCATTCGTCATATGCTAAAAATCTGGTTGGTGATTTGATCGCTAATGTACCACTTTAGTGGATTCTGAAAAATAATTTCTTTCGCTTATACCTTAGACCACATACAAAAACCTTGAGTTCAAAAAATAATGTCCCAATGTCTAGCTTTGATAACTGAGATAAAGTCTTACTGTCACACATTTCTTACCCATTTGCATTTTTGGTCACCTGTGTACTTCTAGGGGATAAAATCACAGATTTGGGTAAGTAACTTTATTATCCCGATTCTGGGCTATTACAGTTCTACTAATATGGTCTTTTCGTATCGACAAGATGATGTGAATACAAAACGAAGTTGAATTCTCTATGAATCTGTTTTACAGTGGTTTTTCATCCTTATAAATGTTTATTGTACTTGTTCGTCATTGAGAAAATATAAATCAGTCAAATACAACCACAGTTAACTGTAACATACATGATTAGGAGAAAGACAGAGTTAAACTTCATCTGTGTTGTATTATGAAGCCTGACGCTGGTTTATTATTTGTTTATTAAATAGACGCAAATATTCAGCAAAAATTAATAAATTTTGAAAGAAAGATTTTGATTAGCCGAAGAGTTATTCTAAAAAAATCGAAAATTAACATAATCACATTTGGGATCTTTTTAACTACTTCAGTTGTTAGATATGCAAAAGCAAATATCCTAAATGTATAATATTACCTGTCAGGTATTGCAAAAAATGAATATACACCTGCAAAATTCTTCGTTAAAATACTTCTGCTTCATAAGATAAATACCCCTTTTACAGTTTGTAAATAGTGTCACAAAAACTGGCCAAAATTTAGTCACAAGAACAAGCTAAGCCGAGAAATGAACTACAAGGTGTACGAAAATCCAAAGCCATATTACTGAATTCTAATTTTTAATGTATGGTTATTACCATATTCTCCTGACTAACAACACCCTCTGCGTGGGTAATCCTATTTTCTTGGGAACACAGCAAAACATTAGGCAGTAAGGAAAATCTCCTTGGAAATGAAGTCGTGGTATGAATGTTTACCATATAAATACATGCATTTCTAAATATATGAATAAACGCTTAAACACTGTGCGTCCCCATAGATTTCCTCCTCCAAAGTGAAACTTTGTAGTTTTCTCATTCTAGACTTGGACAATAATTTGCTTTCACTTTATTACTTGCAAATGCTATGTCAATGCTATACTACATTCTACTCAACAAGCAAATTCCATAAAGCTAATCTATTCCTTGTCTTGTGAAGACAGTAAGAATTTCGTGATTTAGATAATCTGCAAACTATGGATAATTCAATTCACAATTAATTGAGTTTCATCAGAATAAACTTTGAGTGTGTGTAGTTTTGACTGTGCTTTCAGAGTAGATTGCAATGTGATATTTTTATATTTGAATCAAATTCAGTGATTTATAATGCCAAATTTATGATTCTAAATGAGCTTTGCAAAAATAATTGCATCAAATATAATGTAACATTTACACTGACATTTGCAGAAGGAAAAATAGAGGAAATTGGTGAGTTGAAAATGGTCGGTATCCCACAATTATGGGAAATAAAACAATTTCAACCAGAAATACAGTATTTTCTTTCTCGCACAATCTGTGTTCATTTGTACAATACTTCGGTGGACTCTTAAAATTAGTAGTAGATACTATTTTACTTGATTTGTTGACAAATTCAACATATATTGGAACAAAACACTTTTCACTTAAAAATCACTTGAGCTACTGAGTCTACTTTATATTCTCAGTCAATCCAAATTATTTTGTCACCTTTCCTGTCTCATTCAACACTGATTTCCAAGAAACGCTGTGTGACAACAGTAGCAATACACTTACTAGTTGATTTGACCAACAAAGCTGCAGAAACCCATAGTCTAGTCTCCCTTTCTTGCTTAATAATCTAAACCTAACCTCTTGATCACTCAACAGTGCACCACCTAATACAAGAAGCTAAATCGAGATACCAATGGTCGAAACAGACTAATCGTTTCATATGCTCCGCCCTCAATTTTCATATGTCATAGTCATATAGAAGAATGAAGTGAACTGCTCAACAGTGCAGACGAAATTTCGTATGTAATCAGGTATCATAACAACGCTAAAGAGACAAACTTGGAGACGGTACACGGGCCTTGAAAATGGTCAAAAATAAGTCAACTACATCCGATTCGACTCCATATATGGGTAATGTGGCTAAAAAATCCAAGAGCAGCTCAGCACAGTCTAAGCTTCCAACAATGTGAGATTCCAGGGTCGTAAGCCTAATATCGAATGCATGCAGATTTTTGATCATGGTCTTTAGAAGGCGTATCACATATCAGCCAAACAATAAGCGTGAATATCGATAAAGGTCACTAGTTGTTGAAGTGCACCAGAATAAATGTGTAGTGCTCAGTGTTTTTGTGTTTGAGAAGTGTAACAAAATGTGACATTTGTATATTTCAACCAAAGAAGGTGGTATATTTTGATAAATTTGTTATTTAAATTGAGCTTTGCGAAAATTAATCGCATCAATAATGTTTATCTTTACATTAACATTTCCAGGAAAAAAACTCCGAGCCATTGGTGAGTTTAACCTTCTTCGAACTGCATCATTGTAGGAAATACACATAAAAATTATATTGTGTGCTATAATTTCTCTTCCTTCAGCACATCAATTTAGTCCATTTATTCAGTGCTTTAGAGGAGTATGAGAAACCACCAGTAAAAACGTTTTATTTTGATACGTAGACAAATTTAATATGCTTTGGAATAACATATTTTTTACTTAAAACTCACATAAGTTACATCTTAATGTACATTCCCAATTAGCATATTAACTTACGGTAGGGATATATGGGACAGTGATAAATGTCTCACAGTATACTCTTAATGGAGAATATCAATATCATTACTATCGATTAAAGCCATATATATACGTATGAAAGAATATTAAAAATGCACGCGTATTTACCATGAATTTATTGAAAAACAATATCGTTTATAGTGGTGTTTACCTTGTGTACTTTAAAAAGGAATAAGTGAATAAAAGAGGCTCGAATGACTGAATCCGCAGTGTAAAATGACATCATTGTGGCTTTTGCTTTATTAAATTTATCATGGTAACCATATAAATGAAGAATCGGATTAGAACGTAAATATCTGTCTAACACTTTAATGTAAAGCCTTGTACAAAGAAACTATCAGTTCAAGTTTCAGCGCTCCTAGAGGTTCACATAAAAATGTAGGAAAGAAACTGAAACTACCATAGGTCAAGATTTGCAGGAGATAGAATAAACAGATGGGGATTGGTGAGAATTTTCAGAATCTGGATAACAACAAGAAGTAAGTGAATATGGCTTTAGTCTGCGTCGATGGTTTTAGGATTTCTGTGACTAGCACCAATCCTTTGTCGACACAGTCATATTTTCACTTCCATTACGAGGATTTTCCAAAATGACCCGATATAAAGCAAGTCAAATAATACGTTTGGGTCAAGAAACTTAGAGTCTTGAACTTTGGTAATTATTCCTATGTTTCAGGACTGATACAGTGATCAAGCTGCAATCCGTTTGCAGTTATATGTGCTTAAAGTCCGACTGATCTCTGAAAGTTGGCTTTATCTTTGCCAAAACTGTCAACTATCGCTAAGAATGTTGAAATCCTAGTTACCGACGTAGTGAAGATGTTTGCCCTATGACTGCTACTTTAAGATTTGTTTTTTTCTTTGTATACTGGGATAGAAAACCGTCTACATCATTTCATTGAATGTGTCAATGTGACAAGAAACTACAGAGTTTGGAATTAAATGGAATTACCTGTACCTAATAAATACAGCAAATTCCCATAGATTTCCTCGCCAAAAATGAAATATAATTTTCTAATTCTAACCTTCGAAAACAGTTCGCTTTTTCCTTTTTAAGCATCAGTACGAAATCTTTGTTATAAGGTATTCTTATCAACATCAAAGCCCTATAAGGCTATTTTATTCTTCGCCTTTTGAAGGAAATTAAATTCTCATAAAAGTTTAGTGCACACTGTAGTTGCTTGTGCTTACGAATACTAGCTCAGTGTGATATTCTTGTATTTTAATCAAAGAAATGGCAATGTTCATCCTGACAGCTCGAGTTAAATATTATCTTTGCTCTATTTTTTCCATAATTTTACATTTGCGATTAAAAGATGTTCAGATTCGTGAGTATTTTATCATTTCTTTTCTCACTGTTATGTTACCATACACTACTTCGCCTTTTCTATGTTCCAGAACATGTAAAAGGGTGAAGATATGGCCAATGACAACCTGTCTGGACCTAAAACATGTTTTATTTCAGTGAGCCTGATTACTCTTAACTTAGTCATCACAACACTAGAGAACCCAGAAATCTAGATACTGGTTCAGTCAGGATGATCTCCTGGTGACTATCACAAGTGGATTCTTAGAATTATATTTCTGTTGCTGCAGTCACTTGGAGTTTCAAAAAACCTAGAGGAGCATAATATATTATCTCTGAAAGGGTGTTATTGGGATTATGACAAGACAATAAATGAGCAAAGCTATTCAGTGCTTCTTTCGATCTGCACTATTGAAGATGCACATTCTTTTTGGAAATAGAAACTGACGTTTTATCCATAAATCTGTGAGTGGCGTGCTTTCGCCCGACTCTTCAAACTCTCTCTATTTATAGTTGGCAAGTAGCAGATTTTGCTCACTACATAATTTCCTGTGATGGTGTTTGCCTTCTTCCGAGTTACTATCCGTCCAACGTTTCCGAGAGGGTGAGATTTGTGGAAGAATCAGTTGTATCAAATAAAGTTTCGGGGGTCACTCTGCTAAACAAGCTTGTTCATCACCTACGAATTGTTATAAATATTTTCCGACACGAAATATTTTGGTCTGTATAGTAAGATTACACACGGTTTGCATGTTGCTTACATCAATCTTATCTTAATAGTTTTTCCAGTTGTTAATCAAAAGTAGTCAGCTATTTTGAGGTGTTAATTCCTTCAGAAGTAACCTCGAGATGTCAAGTATTAATGAAATCCAAAGAACAGGCAAGTATGCAACATGACAACTAATGAAATACGCGTCTGGGAGTAATTATTTTGATCATTTGTTCACTTTACATTCATTTCCACGGGAAAGCTATGCTGATGATTTGCTCGTCAAAGTACTAATCTGCCTAAACAAATACGCTATCGGGTATCCAATATTTTTATTTGCAAATCTCTGTTATTAATATTATCCTAGAGACGATTAGAACAAACATCACCTGAGTAAGAATTAAGTGGGTCTACAAGGGCTGTGTTTCAGACTGAATGTTGGTGGAGAAAGACAGCAGAAATCTACAGCTACGCTTATTGGTGCATTTATATTCACATTCAGTAGTGGTTTTCAAAAGGAAGCTATTCACAGCATGCCTTCGTATTGTGCAGGCCAAATCTGTTTTTCATTGAAATGGTGAACAGCACTATTACAAATGAAATCACTATTCATATGACTAAAGACTGTTATTTTGATGGTCAAAAAGAGTGTGATTTATCTCATCCTCAGGTATAATAAATAAATTGTTCTTAAGATGAATAGACAGTTCATATCAAATTTGAAGATTATTTCATCAATTACTGGAAGATAATTTGTGTTTCTCAACAAACTAAAAGTAATACCATATCGTTATTCAATGCTTATCGTTTTATGAAAGTAAAAACTTCCAAATGATTTTCCTGCAAAAGACATTCACTTTTATATGTTACCTAAAACTTTAGGTGAAGTTCAAGATTATGAAGGTGAGTACACATTTATCACTAATTCCATTTCATCTGAGTCATGCGTTTGTTGACTACTGGATTTGACTTTATTAAGCATGTAAAAGACTATTCTTTTGCAATGAATGATAAACATTTTATTTGTGATCGTGTTTCATGAGAACTTATGAAGTGTGGAATACTTTGTAGCACGCATTTGTGTGGAATAATATTCGCTGCTTTTAAAGAACGAACAACAAAAGTAGCAACCTTCAAGCTGAATCTGTCAGAAGTAGATAGTTGAAAATAAGAGAATTAGAAAGTTTTAATTGGAACCGATGCAAACGACTCTGCTTCTGTTAGGTACCAAGTTTCTGAAGTGATGTATTTTTGATATTCTGCACAGCGTTTGCATCGGTTTATATCACAAATATAAATTACTAGTAATAGTAGCCAATGCATATTTTATATTTTTCAGTTTTAAGATGTGAACCTGTTATTTTAGTCTTGATTTATTACGTGACAAGCAGTCTTATAATTTATTTCACGGCAATTTTATTTAGAGGGTCAGAGGGGCATAGATAGTGAGTAGATATTTTATAGAATTTCATATATTCCAATTTCATATACTTCACCATGAATACAGTTTTACTTTCTATTACAAAAGCTTGCAGTACAGCTTGACAGGTTACAAAACATTTCAGTAACCTGCAAATAAATCTGTGCAGGAACTCATGACCGTCATAATAACATCAATAGAGAGAAGATGAAGAACAACGCCAGCAGTTTCTGACATTTGGTATTGCATAATAAAATCAAATCATTCTGCAAATAATGAGGATGAAAATTAGAGTAACTAGTGTGAATCATTATTTACGCTAACAGCAGTGACCCCATTTTATTTTCACTCAAATCTTTTCTTAAATGCTTAACAATTTTATGTGAAATCGACTAAGTTGTCAATCAATAAATAAATTTTAGTTCAGTGCCTGCTTGAGGAGATATTTTGACACCAACTAACTCAAGTCCCTCCTAAAAAATGGTTTTAGGACGAGACCTTACTGAAAAAAGTGAGTCTTTTCTTCATAATTGTAACCTTTTTTAAAAAGTAAACCAAATTTCTTCTTGAAAAGCTTCTTAAAGTTTGTTATTCGAAGTTCTTTATCTAAACACGTTTTTAACGTAAATATTTTATTGTGGAAATCTGGTGCAATGCTGTTAGCTGTTTGTATTCCCTGAAATATGTATATTTCCTGTATCCCGACAACAAAAGAAGTCCGGAGTTATTAAATAAGTGTTATCCCTCAGAAGAATATGTATTTTGGTGAGTGAACGATAGGGAAACGCCTTTTCATATAGATGGGTTTCAAGTTAGTAGGGTTTTATCAGGCTAATTTCAGTGTTTGATGCAATGGCAAGTTAAACTATGCCTAGCTTTGGGAAGCCTTAATAACTGGAAAACGTCTGAAGTTCATTTTTCTCATTGTAATTAATATGTGGTCATAATGAATAAATTAAGTACAGCTGGAAAATAGTTCTAATACACCACTGGTACATAAGAATGAAGATTTTCCTGAAAAAACACAGAAGCTGCAAGGTTTGGTAAATAATCTGTCCACTAGCAAAGGAATAATTCAACTTTTTGTGCATAATCAAACATTTACTAGTTAAACACTTGTAACAACAAATCAAATTAAAATAAGAATAATTATTCGGAGGGTATAACTAGTAGAAAAGCAATCATTTATAACACAATTTATTTTGGGTTTTTTTTTCGCTTACTAAACTTCCATATAACAGGAGAAGTGATTAAAAAAATAGGTCAAAGACAATGAACAAAAAGCAGTGTATTAAATCTTAAAATACGAATTATTTTATTTATCAAGCCTCTGAAAGAGTCGATTTCTATCTGTTTTGATAGTCAATAAACTGGGAAAAAGAGTGACAGAATTAGGTAAGTTGTTGTATTCAGCCACATAATTGTACAATAGCCTGCTCTATTCAGTTGCATTGGCATAACTGCTTGAAAATTCATTCATACTGTCATGAAGATTCACAAGTTAAAGAGTATAAATTACTTTGTCAAGCACCAAAGTCAAGTGATATTCACGTGTTAAGACAGGTATATAATGTAACCATCACTTTCAACAAGGACTCTAACTCTAAGGATCTCTAACCGTCTTAGTAAAAACATGATAATTAAATTTGAAACAATTACTCCCTTTTATAAATTTTGATAACGTTATTAGAAGACGGAGATTATCTGAAAATGATTATTAAATTGAATGATAATTAAGATAGTTAAATACCCCTGTAGCTTTTTGCTTATCTTAGATTACATATCCACACCCGCTTATGCATACATTTTGACGTCATAATGTGATGACCTAATGAATTCATATTTTCTTGGTGGATATGAAGAAATAAAAAAACTAGAAATAATTTTTCTTCAAGAGGATAAAAATAGTGATGGTATTTTTCTGTTCAAAGATATTCATGATCCGTTTCAGTGAGATCAAAATATGCACTTTATTTTAAATTGTAGAAAAGAAACTACAAGCATAAAGTAAGTTATTATTCTGAGATATTTCTCCATTAATTTACATGCACTTCGTGAGTCAACATCTGGCACTTCTTTGAGACAAGTTAGTCAGTTACAACGGAATTTAGTGTTTCTTCACGGAGCTCTTTGCCATAAACAGTCAATGTCAACGGCGATTAAAACAAATCTAACGGCATTTTGAATGATGAATCTGACTTCTGACTTCAAACAGTACGAGTAGGTCTTTCTACCAGCATTCTTCGAGAAATTATGAACTACTGAGAACTGGTGTCAGATAGTAGGATTGTTTCCATGAGATCACAAGTGAACACGGGCTGGCATAACCACAAATACTGCGACTAGGCTTTGATACGAGCGGGAGACTAGTGACTCCTATGTAGACAAGACGCCAAATGCTGATTTCCGATATCTGCTGACCTCCAGAGTTAATGCGAAAAAGCCTCAGAAACATACTGGTCCGAGAATGTGATGGCAATAGATCTATTGTGCAAAACTGCACTATACGCGGGTATTAAAAACTGCCGAAAGTTAACTTAGCAAATGATTAATTCTAATAAATGCATTTGATAGATCTTCAAAGTTGTTCATCACATTGTAATAAACCTTCCACCTCAGCCTAATAATTTATTTTAGTTTGAGCCAGTCTAGACTAAAAGTTATAGCTGTTTTAAGATGAGTAAACATGAGGTGTATATAACAATTAACTCGTGAAAGGTGTACCACGTTTCTTCAGAAAAAAGGTGAAACGAATGCATGCAGAAATATTTAACAGATACATTGACTCTGATATAAGTCCCAATATCATGATAACTATACACATAACTGTGTCAAGAGGAAAATGTTTTCTAGAGGCAGGCTGATGAAAGTTCTTCCAACATTACGCCTTTGTCGCATGCGCCTCCAGACTGCGTAATTATGATTTGTCAGTATCCACAGGCTCTTACGTTGTTATCAGTTTCATTAGGTAAATTATTATGGTTTATATTTTTTCTCATTTCGTTAAACTTTGCTTCACATACGCTGGTAAAATTTGGTGATAATTTATATTATTATTGCTCCCTTGGGTTCTTAGTGGACCATAGGGCTTCAACTGCACGTCTCCTTTTACTTTTGTCTTCTGCTTTACTTTTCGCCTGCATCCATGTTAGTCCATATTCTTTCAACTCCTCTTCACACGATCTCCTCCATGTCACCCTTGGACGTCCCACACGCCGCTTCCCTTTCGGGTTCCACTCGAGGGCTTGACGCGCGATGTCACCCAGCGGTCTCCTCAGCGAGTGTCCGATCCATCTCCACTTTCTCCTGCATATTTGTTGGGCGATTGGTTCTTGCTTTGTTTGTTCCCATAATTCCTTGTTGGTGATTCTTTCCGGCCATCTGATCTTCAGTATAGAGCGAAGACAGTTGTTAATAAAGGTCTGCAAGCCTGTTGGAAATATTCTTTGTGACCCGCCGCCAAGTTTCTGATCCGTATAGAAGAACTGACTTTACGTTTGTATTGAAAATCCGAATTTTGTTGTTGATGCTGAGTGACGAAGATTTCCAGATTGATTTCAGGTTGATGAATGTGTTTCTCGCCTTCCCGATTCTCCTCGATTTGACATCCTCGTCCGTTCCGACTCCTGTAGTTGAGACAATGCTCCCTAGATAAGTGAATGAAGTAACTAACCTCTTTCAAATCCCTCCCGTTGATGGTGATTGACGTTGGATGTTGCTGCTGTTGTTGTTGTTGTGGTTATTTTCATAACCTCCGTCTTGTCTATGTTCACTTGGAGTCCTGTCTTCTACCTGCTTCTTCGACCAGTTTGTCGGTTTTCGCTTGTAAGTCTTCGATTTTGTGTGACATCAAACATAAATCATCCACGGCGAAATCCAGGTCTTCTAGGTTCTTCACGTCGGTCCAGGATATTCCTGTCTTCTCGTTTCCCACTGTCTGACGCATAATCCAGTCAGTCCACCACAATTAGGAATATCATTGGTGATAGATAACAAGCACCCTTGTCTGACTCCTGTGTTTACTCCAAACGCCTCGCTGAGTTTTCCGTTGTGGATCACTTGACATGTGCCGTTGTCGTACAGCTGTTGAATAAGGTTGATGAATATTTGGGGTACGCCATAGTACTCGAGTAATTTCCAAATTACTTCACGGTCAACGCTGTCGAAGGCCTTCTCAAAGTCTATAAAGTTGAGGTAGAGGTTTGATTGCCATTCCATGCTTTGTTCGATGATGATGATGCGTAGAGTTGCAATTTGGTCAGTACATGATTTGCCTTTCCTGAATCCAGCTTGTTCTGGTCGGAGTTCTGTCTCCAGTGCGTCCTTTTCTTCTCCAGGATGATGCGACTCAGGATTTTACTTGGCGTCGATAGGAGCATGATTCCTCGCCAGTTCTTGCAGAGTGAGGCTAAGTCGCCCTTCTTTGGTAGTTTCACGAGGTAACCTTTCCTCCAGTCAGTAGGCACCTTTCCCTCCTTCCAGACCTTTTGCAATAATGGAGTCAGCATGTCTGCTGTAGTCTCTGGGTCCGCTTTCAGTGCTTCAGGGGGTATTCCATCTGGTCCGGCTGTTTTCCAGCTTTCAGAAGTTTGATTGCGTTCAAGACTTCAGCTCTCGTTGGAGGATTGGTGTCAACTTGCAGTTGTGTGCGCTGTTGTTGGTATTTCTGGACGGGTTGCAGGTGATGGTCGGTTCAAGAGTCCTTTGAAGTGATCCGCCCATTGTTTAATCTGTTTTTCTTCCTTGGTAATTGGGTTCCCTTGGCTGTCTTTTATAGGTTTCGCTTGTGTTGATCTCTTCCCGGATAGAGATTTGGTTATCTGATATAGTGTCCTCAGGTCCCTTTTGCCTGCTGCCTTCTCAGCTTCAGTGGCGGTTGTCGTAGAATCGTCTTTTGTCCTTCCTAGCACTCTTCTTCACTTCTTTGTCCAGTGCTTTGTAAGTTGAGCTCAGCGTCTCCTTCTCCTGTCCGTCCTTGCATTGAATCATTTTCTCTTTCACCATTCTCCTCTCTTCTATTAATTTCCAAGTGTCCGTTGAGAGCCATTCCTTGTCTTGTCTCTTCTTTCTTCCTAGAACCGTTGAACACGTTTCGTTGAGAATCGCCTTCAGAGACTTCCAATGTTCTTCCACGCATGATTCTTCAGTGATGTCGCGTAGTGTTTCCTGCTTTGCTCTGACAGTTGCAGTGAAAGTGTCTTTTGTGGTTGTGTCCTTCAGTAATTGAGTGTTGAACTTGCATTGTGGCCTATCCCCAGCTATCCTCGAGGCTTTTAGTTTCACCTTGAAAGTCCCTTGTACTAGATAGTGGTCTGAACCCACATCTGCTCCTCTCCTTGACCTTGTGTCCAGTAGGCTCCGTCTCCACTTTCTTGAAATTGAGATGAAGTCTATTTGGTTCTTGGTGTTTCCATCTGGTGAAATCCATGTCGTCTTGTGTATATCCTTGTGTTTGAACACACTACCACCAATCACCAAATCATTGAAGGCGCAGAAGTCTGAGAAGAGTTCACCATTGTCGTTCATTTCACCGAGGGCCTCACGACCCATGGTGAGTTCTCTTCCTGTGTTGTCTCCTCCCAGCTTCGCATTCATGTCGCCCATCAGGATTTTGATATCGCCATTTGGGACGTTGTCCATTATTGCTTGTAGTTGTCTGTAGAACGCCTCCTTCTTCTCTTGTTCTGAGACGTTTGTAGGCGCATAGCATTGAATGACTGTAACTTTCCTTCCTTTTGAGTTGAACCTGGCTGTCATTATCCTGGAGGAGATTGGTTCCCACTGCATGAGAGCTTTGGTTGCTGTTGGTGACATCATGATGGCCACTCCCTCGGTGTGCTCATGGTTGTCCTCTGGGTGGCCGGAAAGATTACTGTCTCTCCAGTAGGTAGTTGGCACCTTCCAGTTCCGTTCCATCTGCTCTCGCAGATTCCCAACACTTCTATTCTGTACCTTCTCATTTCAGCGGCTATCTGGGCAGCCTTTCCAGTTTCGTACATTGTACGAACATTCCAGGTACCCATCCTTACTTTTGCTTTCATCGAAAGAAGGCACACATCGGCTGACTGGCTTCCCGAAGGCTGCTTTCACCAGCCTGCGTCATTTCACTTCCCCGATTCCAGCGAAAAGTAAGGCTATTGCTTATGTTTTTAGAATTTTTAATATATTTATTCGTTGAAGTTTCTGTAGCGATTTGGTTGTTTTACAGGGGTGGAGTTGCTAGCACCACGCCCCAACCCTCCCTCTTTACCCGGGCTTGGGACCGGCGAGAAAACTAGTAAGCTAGTAGCCTAGCAAACTAGTATCTGGCGAGGTTTAGGTGATAATCTGTAGAAAACAATATTTACCGTCACGCACTCAAGATACAACACTGTCACAGTATTCATTGATAACATCAAGAATTTAAAACAGTCCTTTTAAGAAATTTTGAGAGCGTTATTTGGAGACGGAGTTAATCTGAAATATATGTGTTAGTGCAATGCAATCCGAATAGTCTGATCACTCATTTGTTTATCAGACCAATATATGAGAAAAGGGAAAAATCAAAAGCCAATCAATATAAGTGATGAAAGGTTTAAAGGTGAGGAAGCGGACAATTAAACTACCTGGATACTGCG